GCAACGGGTGCAGCTCTTTAGTGGGTTTGTTGCAATGACTGCAGGCTCTCCGGCAGGTCTCAGAAGGATGAAGCGGCACATAACCGATCAAGATTGCGGGCCAAATCTTGACGTTCCCTATGGCCCCAAAAGCTTGCACGGCTTGTTTTCCTGGGCTGCCGAGGGTTATGAAAGGTTGAGAACTCAGTTCGCAGATGCCAAGGCCATCATGGAGCAGAAACTCCGGCGGGGAATCAGAGTCTCCTCGCATTACTCGGGAAAGGGCACGGGGGAGAGCTGTGCGAGTCAAATTGAACGTGCGATTAGGGATGATGTGGTGGCCGAGGGCTCTGCCATTGCTCTTGACCTCAGGTGTTTGCCGCAGCAGCAGTTTCAGCCTGTTTTCTCAGTTGATTGCTCAGAAACAGCCCGCAAGGCGTTGCTTGCGACAGGTTGCAAGCATGTCTTTGGCAAGATCGAGGACAGGATGAGACCTGATCTGCAACGACAGCTGAAGATGATGGAACCGGCTGACACAGTGAGCTGCGCAGACAAGGAGCAGCAGCACAGTGACATCAAGGAGCTATTGTTTCAGGCTCATCCCCCGTCACACACTGCAGACCTCCAAGCCTGGTGTTATCGGCGCCAGAAAAACTGCAATATTTGGGATGGCTTTTTCGACGACATCATGGACATTGATGAGGACGAGGAGCCCCAGCCCGAGCCGTACCACATCAACGTATCAGGATTTGCGTGCACGGACTTCAGCAGACGCCGAGCTACCGCATTGCCCCGATTCGCTGGCAAAACCGCGCCAACGTTTTGGAAGTGGCTGCGGGAGATCCAGCTCTGTCGCCCTCACTATGTGTTTTGGGAGTGCTCTCCGTTTTTCCCTGAGGAGGTCATCGCGAATGAGATGGACGGCGAGTACCTGCAGATTACAATCATCACCGGTCCGACTCTCATGGGGTGGCCGGTGACCAGATTGCGTAAGTTTGGTTGCCTCATCCGCAGAGACATCCTCTTCCTCGGCAGCGACAAGGAGTTCCACAGCATGTTCCAGCGACAATGCAGCGTGAACGGTGACATATTCTTCACGGCCGCACCGGATGAGTACATCGTCGACCAAATGATCAGCAAGGCTAAGAGCCGAGGATATTATCCGCAAAAGACTGGCGACTCCAAGCCCCAGGACTTCCCGCCGGACGTGATGATCACGCCCGCCATGAAAATGAGAATGACGAACTACGGAAAGAAGCGGTCCCACCCTGGCCAAGCCATGTTGGTGGATTTGGATCAGAACGAGAACTTCGGCAGCTGCCATGAGTGCATACCATCCATACCGACCCACAGCAGCATCTACTCCTTCGTGAAAGGGCGTCTTTTGCTTGGCAAAGAGCTGCTGTTTTGCATGGGCACTTTGGCTTCATGGCAGTCAAGGCTCACATGGGCCGTCATCCATTCCTGTAGCTGTAGCTGTGAATTTGACTACTGGTATCATATGGGCATTAATGGCATGTTGATCTGTTGATTTACCTAAGGTGAGAACCTATTTCTTCCGGAGCTGCCTGCCAGCTTGCTCGCTGATGTGAACTTCAGCGATACAGAGTGCCAATTTCTGGCTGGCAATTGCTTCGCGATGAATGTAATGGGATCGTGGATGATGTATGTGCTGGCCAGAACCATTCCGATGCCGATGGCTTCCGCCACTTCCCATAATTGCAGTTTCATGCTACGTGGTGATAACGGCCAAAGGACCCGCAGCTTCGAAGACCTCAGCGACGGTGACAGCGACGGCGGCCACGGCGACGAGAGCAGTGGTGTCTGAGGGCGGCTTGGCAATGGCATGGTAAATAGTTGGACGTAGGATAAAAGAGTTTAGGGTTAAAGGTTCAGAGAACCTTAAACCTTAGACCGTACCTTAAACCCTAAACCCTGAACTTCCCCTAAGCGCTGAGTCAGCTGAGCCCAAAGGCTTTACATAAACGACTAAGCGGCCTAAGGCTTGAGGGCGCCATAACATCGTATGTGTGATGAGGTTCTGCAGCTCATCACGGCGTCGATGCCGACGAAATTTGAAACATTCATGGGCCCACTGTGGCCTGGGTGACTGCGATGGCGATCGCTGCGGGTGAAAGTATTCCGGGGTTGCTCTCTGTGGCTGAAGCTTGTAGGGATGTCGGCTTTAAGTCGCCATAGGGTTCTATTGTAAAACTCCACACCGCGACCCGCGCAAACTTGTTTTTCACTAACGGGAGAAACCTGTTGAACAGCATTTGTGTTTGTGCTGGATGTAATTCCAGACCTTAAGTCCTCCCAACCCTACAATCCCTAAAACCTTTGGCTCAACTGTTGGCTCAAACTTTGGCTCAATAGTTCGCTCAGAGCTTAACTTGGAAAACCCGCCGACCACGGCTTCATATTCAAAGCTGCGCATCGAGGCTTGATTGAGAAATGTGGTCCAAAAAGTATTGGCCCAGACTTTGGGGTTCAAAGATGCATGCTCTAGGCAAAATGTCGCTCAGTTGTTGGCCTCCAACCCTGTGTAGGCTGAGACGCCTTGGCCGTGTGATTTTGTGACTTGTCAGACCTCTCAGAGCACCTGTGGATTTCGCATTGCCATGAACCAACATGTGCCCGCAACGATGAAAGTTACTAGTCGAGTTCTTCTGGATCGAAAGCGCGACAAAAGTCATCGAAACCGCTCTTTTCGACTTCTAAGATGATTTTACGAAGTCGAGTTCTTCTGGCTTCGTTTTGTCGCAAAAGATGCTCTTTTTCAGCAAGGTCGTTGTTCCGACTTTGCAAGGTCGAAATGAACCCGCCCTCTTTTATCGCGAAAGACAGTCCGAAATGGAATTCAGAAACGTCTCGAAATTTTTTAGCTTTCAGAAACAGTAAAGATTCACTATTGAGTCATTATCGATCCTTTTTGCTTCAATAAGGAACTAAACACTGAATTAATTTTTCGTTCTTTAGAACGTTCCGAAGAAAGCGTCGAGTCGCGTCATC